AAAAAAAAAAAAAAAAAAGAAAAGAAAAAAAAGAGTTCTTAAATATACAAACTCATTATATTTTTGTCTATTGTTTGGCCTCCTAACAACTTAGAGCTGCAACCAATTAAAAAAATATATCCTTAAAGCCAGTGATGACCATATTTCAGGATGAGATTAAAGAGCCAATAAAGTCTATACTAAAGTCATTGTGACATTGTTTAAACAAATACAAAAGATAGACTGTAAATATTTCATTTTAATGCTAATTATTTATTGTTTAAATTTAAAAGGAAACGTCAGGTTTATGTTATTATTTGCTACCATAAAAATACCAAGGTTTAAGGAACATGTTCATTATGTGAAAGGTTTCAGTTTAATTCATTTATTAAAAAGCTTGCCATCTGCCAGATGCATGGAAATGTTGACTCTTGGTGAGGGGTATATGGAAGTTCGTTGTGAGTCTCTCTTCTTTTCTATGTGTGTGAAAATTTTATAATAAATACTTTCTAAAAGGCAAAGCGTAATTTAAGTTAAAGTGGTTTCAACTGTCCAATACACAATAAATTGGAAATGTATATACAGATTTCTTTGTTACAAATATTATATTAAATTCCTAGTTCAAAGTAAAAGAAAAAAATTATGCTGTACTATTAGAGGAACGATAAATAGTTAGGTATTACTAGAACATTAAGTGTGCATGTAGGGGTGAGGGAGAAACTCTAGATGAAGTGAGAAGCCGCAGAGATTTGAGTTCAGGTCAAATCTCAGTGATGTCCAGTATGATTGAAAGCTGTCCGAATGTTGCAGTCAGGAATTGTATTCCAGTGCTCTCACAGTCACATTTGTACTGTGGCTGAAAGGTGTTGACTCAGAGACCTTTTTTTTTTTTTTTTTTTTTTTTTTTTGAAGAGAACAGGATTTCCACATGAACACACTGAACAGATTTTCATATATTTATTTTGACAGGACTTATTCCAGTCATTTATTCACTATTCAAAAAGATTATAAAATAAACTTTGTGTTTTAATTTCTAAAACTAGTTTTTAGCTTTTGTATTAGCCTGCTGGGGCTACCTTCACAAAGTACTACCTGGGGGACTTAAACAATAGGGATTTATTTCCTCACCGTTCTGGAGGCTGGAAGTCCAAGATCAAGGTGCAGATGGGGTTGGTTTCTGATGAGAGACTTCTCTCTTCGATTTGCAGACAGTGCCTTCTCTGTGTCCTCCCATGGCCTTTCTTCTGTGTGCATGCTTTCCTGGTGTCTCCTCCTTTTCTTATAATAACACCAGTTCTAACGGAGTAGAGCCCCACCCTTATAGCCTCAGTGAGCCTTAATTACCTCTGTAAAGTCCCTGTCTCCAAAACAGTCACGTTGTCGGTTAGGGCTTCAACATAGGAATTTGGGGGTAAACAATTCTGTCCTAAGAGCTTTCAAACATAAACCCCCACCCCCACTAAAAAAATAATAGTAGGATGTATACCCCAGGAATTAGAGGAAATCAGAAGAGCGATTAGACAGATTTTATATAGTAAAACAACTATTTTTGAAGTTGATACCAAACTCATCCAACTATCCATAAAAGGCACCTCTCTCAGCACATGAAGGGGGAAGATTTAAGAGTGTTTGCATGAGTATATGTGCCAGCATGTTAGCCCCTATCAGCTTTCTCATGCCTTCTGTTATTTTATGTTTAGGATATTTCTAATAACTGTTGCATCAATCTTTTATATACTTTTACTAAGTCTATATGTTTTTACATTAAAAGTTGTATAAAATAAGACTAAATTAAATGTGGAGTGCTAAAAATCACCAAGATAGTCTAAGATAGTATAATATTTAATTCATAATTTTGCCTCCATGATAAGCTTATCTAAAACAGGATATGAATTTAGATTGCAGAATAAATATTTGACATTATCTTTCTTTTTGGGATGTGGTTGAACTGATGGTAAAATGTAGTCATCAATTTTGCTCTTTAGAGCTCATGTATTTCCATGAGTAGTAGGGAGTTACCTTAATTTAGTCATACAATAAGGGAGAGATCTCATTCATTTGTACTTTGGCAAGCCATGACACTATACTGATGGCTTAATTTGTTCCATGATGTAGTAAAAGACAAATAATTTGCTAAGTAATTTAATTTTGTGAAAACTCCTTGAGGGAATGTTTAAGATACTCATTGTTTCAGTAATATTAAGTGAATTAAATTCTATAGTTACGGCATTCATATCTACTTCTAAAACTAAGTCATGAAGCTAAAACTAAGTCATGAAACTTTGTACTGATAAGTAATAAATCCATATTTAACTTAAGATGTTTTGTATTCTGGGGGCGTCTGGGTGGCTCAGTCACTTGAGCCTCTGACTTCAGGTCGTGATCTCACAGCTCGTGAGTTCGAGCCCCGCGTCAGACTCTAAGCTGAGCCTATTTCAGATTCTGAGTCTCCCTCTCTCTCTGCCCCTCTCTCGGCTCACACTCTGTCTCTCTCAAAAATAAATAAACATAAAAAAATTTTTTTAATATTGTGTATTCTGTAGTTTTTATAAACTTATACTATTTCTACCAAGACTATCAAATGCAGTTGGATTCTGTTACTCATGCTTTTCTACTATGCTGAAATGTCTTCATCATTTGGAAAAATCAGCATGTCCCATTCTAGAGAAAAAGACAGATATTTCCTTTTCAGATTTTTCTTCACACATTGGATTATAAAATGTGTATGTGGGGGGGGGTGTAATTTATTAATAATGGGAAGATTTTTTGTAAGCTTGCACTGTTCTCTCTGTTTGAATACAAATTACTTTTGGTACAAATACAAAAGTTGTTCATTGGTAGAAACACAGTCCCTGCCAATTTGCCTCTAGGAATAATTTCTCTTTTAATGTGATTTATTTGGCACCAGTTGGTCTCAGGAGTAGCACTGTGCTCAAATTTTGATCAAAGAGGCAAAATGGAATTTCTGGGCACCCTCCTGATTTCCCATGTGATGCAGTGACAGTGTCATTAAAATGTCCCTTTTACCTTTTAAAATAAAATCAAGGTTTTTTGGTTTTTTTTAATTTCAAGGGGACTTATCGACAAAGAAAATATTCCTTCTGGGTTCAGCAGCCTTGAAGATTGTATTTTGAGTGCTCAGGAAGTGGAAAAGCTGTATGAAAATACTTCTGGTTGTGTTGGAGAAAGGGGCAAACCTAAACGTCAGAAATCCAGTTCCAAACTCTCTGAACTCAATGAAAATCAAGATGGTCTTGTGGTAAGTGAAAATTCTGTAAAATTTTTACTTGTAGCCAGTTAGGAAATACCACATCTCTTTTCTTTGCTATGTAAAATAATAATAATAATAATAATAATAATAATTCCAATCATGAGCTTATAGGACTATAGGATATGAGTTGTGAAGACCTTAGAGCTACTAAATATGCACACTTATATTTCTTTTTAATATTAAAATCAAAGCCGAGAAAAATTATATTCTACCAAAAGAAACAAAGACAGAACACTTACTATTTATTTAAATTGGCCTGATTTGTATCTCATTCTTTGGAGCATTTTTAAATTTTATTTTTGAAATATTGCCAATAAAGCCTTTTTATTTCCCCCCATTCTGTTTGTTCTTGAATATATGACTATTTAAAAAAATTAATAAACTTAAAGCCAAGTGAAAGAAAACTACATAGAGAAAGAGGGTCAACTGTCTTTGTGTACAAAAATCTCTGTGTTCAGAAATTTAGTTTAAACCTATACTCTACAAACTATTTTCTTCCAAATTAACCAGAAACAAAAACAAACAAACAAAAAAAAAAGATCAGCCTCTTACACAGTTACCTCAGAATTGAACCCTGGATTATTGATTTGATATGTAAGTTATTACAAGTTATTGTATACTATTAGTATACATCATCCTTTTCTGTATATGCTTCAGTTTCTCTGAAAAGTGAGAACCAAAGTGTGTCTTCTTAGTCCATCTAGTTTTTAAAAATTTAACAACAACAATAAAAACTGAAGATAAAATTTATAATATAACATGAGCTGGAGTCCCCATAATAAATTACGTAATGTCCGCTTTTACCATGCAATGTGTAAATACTCTGATCTATTTTATCTCTGACCAGCTTTTAGCTCCATGCTGGGTTTTTCATACATTTACTAATATGGGCCACCTCTTTTCCATTGTCAATTTATGCATGTGCTCAGAGAAGATTCCCAATTTTGCCCTAAATAAAATATACATAAAGGCAAATTCAGGGAAACATGTTAATTTCTTTTTTCCCCTCCAAATGTCTTGATGCTCTGTTTCTAGAAGTAATAGTGACCAGCTAGAAGGGACAGAAACAATCACCCACCTCAGGTCCATTTCTGATACACTCCAAATAACGAATGTAAGCTTTGGAACCATTATACATATTAAATGTTTTTAGCATTAGCTTAATTCTTGCGTAGGGGAAAAGTAAATTTTTAAGTAAAATAAATGGTGCTAATTTCATTAGCTCTTTATTTGGCCCACAATTTGCTTATCTGCCAAAGAGATTACAATGACTAAAAGTCCAACACTTCATTGGAAAGAATGTACTCTATTTCAGTCCCTTTTTACGTGAACTGAAGCCATGAATATTTCTTTTCCACAAGGCATAATGTCTTAAATTAGCATGGTGGTGATAGCTAATAAAAATGAAAAAGTACATTTATTCCTTAGAATCTGTGTTTGATTGATATAATAACTATAGACATATTCTTTGCTTAAAAACATTTGAATGGGAGAGCCCAATGCCATCTTGGTCTTTTTAGGTGAAAGGGTTTGCCCCCATGTTAGTTGCCAGTTTCCTCATTCCAGGATTGTGAATGTCATGTATTAACATAAGTGAACCAAGTGGACCATGTCTTTTTGCAGTGAATAATTGAAAACCCTGCCAACACAACTTCCACGTAGAAAGTAAAGGTGCTGTCTAAGAGCTTTTCTAACTGTCATATGCCATGAATTTTTAAATCTGATCTTCACAGGTAACCACAAAGCAAATAGCCAGGGAACATAGCAAGTCTTTAGTCTCCATCCTAAAAGTTAAGTTGTGCATCTTAACTTGTCACTTACTTTTAACCTTCTAGGTTTACTTTTCCCAAATCTCCCCCCAAACCTTTTCCTGCTCCATTTCACGTGCTTTACACCCTGAGTAAACATTTATTTCTAAACTGGGTGGGAGAGGGGAGAAATGCATACATAATTATATGCCTTTATGTGCCAGGAAATATTTCAGATCCTGGGGATACAGCAGTGAGAAAAACAGGCAAAAGTTACTGTCCTCATGGAGTTTACATTCTAGTAGGGGGAACAGACCAATAATCAAGATAAGTAAGTAAAACACAAAATACGTCAGATAGTGATAACTACTAGGAAGAAACATAGAGCTGGAAATGGTGACAGGAATTGTGAGGGAGCAAGCGATGCAATTTTAAATGGAGTGATCTGAGAAGATCTCCCAAGAATTTGACATTTGAGTGTAAAGACTTAGAGAAAGTGAGGAAGCAAGCCATACTATCCTAGTAGGTGCAAAGGCCCTGAGACAATCATTTATCTGGAATGTTCAAAAAAACAAAAAGGTACCGTTGTGATTGGAGGAGAGTGAGCAAAGTTAAAGAGGTAATGGGAGAAAGTGGGCAGATGAAGTAGGGCCTCATGGATCATTGTGAGAACTCTGCCTTTAATATGGATGAGATGAGAATCCATTTGAGGGTTCTAAGTAGAATAGTGATCTGACTTACTGAAATTTGAATCAACTGCTATGTTGAGAATAGACAGTAAGCAGGCAATGGCAGAAAGAAGAACCCCAGTTAAGAGGCTATTGCAATAATCTGGAGTTAAGATGATGATGGTTTGAACAAGGTGATACCAGAGTCAGCATGTATTTCCTTGCAGATTGTATGATGCACTACTCTAGAGGCACTGTTCCCATAGACTAAAATGTGAACAGTTCCTCCTAGAGTGGTGCATTGCAGTCATCATGATGTGGTGGATGGATTCTGGGTGTATTTTGAAAGACCAAGGGAGTGAGTGTGGACAGAAAAGAAAAGTCACCTCAGGGGCTGTGAGCCATGAGACACACCAACCTTTAGAGGATAGAGAGATGAGAAGGTACCAGGAGAGGAGACTTAAGAGACTAGCAAAGTAGAAGACAGACAAGGTGAATTTGATGCCTTCGAAGCCAGGTGAACCCAGTATCTCAAAGAAGAGAGAAGGTCAGACGGTGGGTCAAGTAGAAGACTGCACGTTTGACCACTGGGGTTAGCAAGGTGGAGATCACTGAATAAGAGCGGTTTTGTTGAAGAGATAGGAGCAAAAGCCATTTTCCAGAGTAAATGAGAGAGGACCTGAACACAGCGAGTGATAATTTCACACTGATCACACCAGCCCACAACACAACCAAGGAGAATATGCTGTAGACAAAAAAAAAAGCATCTTGCACATCTGGAACCTCTGAGGTGGGAACTGGCTGGGCACTTTGCCTTTGCCCTGTCACCTCTTGAGACAGTCATGATCAGCAGGAACCAAGAGGCTACAGAGAATTCAGAGCTTAAAAATTAGTGGTAGTGAGTGACATTAGAGTGTTCTGCCTTATCTCTAATTATTGCCACGGTCCCAAGCTTTTCCTCCTCCTTTAAACTCCTAGCTCATGCCTGTGCCCTTCAGTCATTCTCAGAGCAAAACCTTGTCTCCTCATTTACTTGGAAGAACTAGGACACCCAGCTTGTGTTTCAGCAGCTTCCCTCCTGCTTCAAAACATCTCTAAAAACTTCACTCATTTTATTTTCTCACCTGCTCAAATGATAACATGGCTTTTCTAATTTCTGAGGTTACCTTCTAACTCAAGAAGTGTCCGTGTAAATTCTGTTTTCTACCTCCATCTCCCCACCCCACCCCCATGTACGTGTACAAACATACACATACACTCACTCACACGGTTTTCATGGCTTCCTGTCCACTGGCTCATTTCTGTTGGCCTAGAAAAAGCATCCACCTCTAAAAGCTTCCTCTTCTGGGTGCAATTTAACAGCTTGAATCAAAAGCCCATAACTCAGTCATGCATTTTATCCAGTAATCATACTTCTGCCACTCAGTTCTACTTAAATATGGAAAAGACCGTGAGTATTAATTTGCTCACTGCAAGGCTTTCTATAATCATGGAAAATTAGAAGCAATCTAAATGCTTAAAAGTACGAGATCAGATTAGTAATGTGGATGTCAGTTCAGTAAAATTATTATTTGGAAGACCATGTAATAAAATAAAAAACATTGACAAGTTATATTTTAAGTGCTTTGTATATATTATCAATTCTAGTACTCCCAATTATCCATAAGGCAGATTTAGTAGTAGTAGTAGTAGTATTCTCATTCTAAACATGAGGGAAATGAGGCAGAAGAGATTAAATAACATCTCCAAGGTCACATACAAGTGGTGGCGCTGAGAGTCTACTATATCCTTCAATATTAAAAGTGGGTTATGAAGTGTGCATTTATATATGTATATATGTCTCTGTACATTTTCATATATGTATGTCTATAAATGTATGTATCGTATATGTGTACATATTTGTATGTGTGTATATGTATGTATCTCATGTGTGTGTACAAATGTATATAAAAATGTTCATTCCCAGGAAAAAAGACTGAAAGGAAGTAAGCCTAAAGTGATTGATAATATCATGTTGGTGGTAGCAGTATTAGAAGTAGCTGTCACTCAAGGGGCGCGTGGGTGGCTCAGTCAGTTAAGAGTCCAACTCTTGGGGCGCCTGGGTGGCGCAGTCGGTTAAGCGTCCGACTTCAGCCAGGTCACGATCTC